ATATGTTATGTATATAAATATATATTTTATGTATGTATATATACGTACAAATATATATATATATATATATATTTGTAAGTATAAATATATTTGTAAGTATAAATATTTGTATATGTATATGTATTAATGTAGTAATATATCAGAAGTTTAACTTGGATCTGTTGGTTGATTGTCAATTGGAACTCTAAAGTTAAGCGTGCTTGAGCTGGAGTAGTGGAAGGATGGGTGACCTCCTGGGAAGTGGATTTCGAGGATTCAATCTCAGAGTTACCGATTCGGCTTAAGATCGCGGTTGGAGGTTAGAGGTCGGGAATAGGGTATAGGATTAGATTCGGGATTAAAAAAAATTATTTCTGGATCCAAAATACGTTTTAGTGACGCAATAATTGCGTCACCTTTTTGAGTCACTAAATAGTGACGCAATTGTGTCACCAAAAGGTGACGCTAAAAGGTGACGCAATTGCGTCACTATTTAGTGACGCAAAAATTGAGTCACTATTGCGTCACCCTTTGGTGACGCTTGGTGACGAAATCTGAATTGGTGACGGTATGAATGGTGACGCTTTTGGTTGCGTCACTATTGCGCCACCTTTTGAAAAGGGTGACGCAAAAATATAAAAGGGTGACGCAAAAGTTGCGTCACCCTTTTGCTGTTTTCTAGTAGTGGTTGCAGCGCAGTCGTTTGTTTGATTTTTTTTAGTTATGTCTTTTATTGACACGAGTTCGCAAGGTGATGTGGTTCAAGCGGCATAGGTTTGATCATCTTTTCAGCAAGTTGGGCGTTTCGTGATCTTCCACGCTCCAACTTGAAGGGGGATGTTGAGATATACCGGATCTTGAAGAATATTACGAGATATATCGTATATTGAAGATCTTATTAAATCCGGAAAATATATATTTAGAAATATTTATCATTATTCAATGTAAGACTCTCATCTATTTATATGTTATTTTGGTTATCAATAAAAATATAATTCCGCAAATTTCTACACTTTGACCCGACCACATCTCCTAGAGGACCGGAGAAGCTCAGGTGAATATCATGATAAGAGTATGTTTTGCATGTTCTCTCACCACTAGACCACTCAAATTTGGGTTTAAGGTTGAGATGTTCATATCTAATATATGTTGTTCTTGACCTAAATAATTTAGGTTATTGTTAGGCAAGAGTACTCTTGATACAGTTCATTCTAGAGAATTTGAACTCCGTCTTATTAAAAATCACATAGAGTTAGAGTTATTTATTATAGAATTAGTATTAATGTTCTAATGAAATTAATTTATAATTTTCTAATGGAATTATATTTATCCTATATTTATGTCTATATATATATCATTTGGTTGATTGAATTCATAGCAGCAGCTGATGGAGGTCTACAACATTTACATATTGTGTATCCTCTTTTTACTCTCTTGTGAATTAGTTTATGTTTTAACCGTGATTATATCCTAGATATTTTAATAAGAGAAATTAATTAGTTATTGGTGTTGAATGAGATTAACGTCTAATTAATTGGCGTATGATTAATTCATCATTCACGCTTTTTTCCACGTGACCTGCAGTGCGGTCCATGATAACTTCATCTAAGTGATACGCACGGGTATTGGCTTATCATATGATGATTTTAGTTTATCACTCGAACTTAGACGCCGGCACATGCATGGAACATTATATAAATCTTTATTATTATATTTATTGTTATCCAATGTACATTTTGATTACTTCAACTCGGTACGTACATCGAACTTTTCTCTTGAGTGTTCATATTATAAATCATCCGATCTAAAAAAACGATTGGATAAGATTATAAAAACTTGGAAATTTTTTCATTCATAAGCGTAGTTATATTATATGGTTATGGATAACGAATTTTCAGGTCACATTGAATTAATATAGTATACATATCATGCCTGTATATAATGAGAGAACCTAATAACCATACACATACATATTTTGAATCGTTGATATACATACATCAACTATATATATTCGAAGTGCACAGCTTCATTATATCTGTTCGCGAGCTATTTAAACTAGTTTCAGGATATTAATAACCGATATATTTCGATTATGGTGTATCTACATACATGTAATATACATATATATATATATATATATATATATATGTGCAAACACGCATATTGGTCACCTCCATCCATTGCACAATGAAGAAACCCTAATTTAATTCTACCACCAAGAGAGCCATTGTTTTCCCTATTTTTTAATCATCTTTTTTTTTCTTCTATAAAAACCAAGAACCTAGCATCATTCCAAATGCACAAACAAGATCAAAGCTTCATCTTTTTCCCCCAAGTTCTTTCAAGTATCGTTTTCTACACATAATGACGGCTAAAACACATATCTTGTTTCTCATCCTACTTCTCACATTGTTCAAAACCAAAGCAAGACAACATAGAAGCCATAGCTCCTCTTCCTCACTCGTTTTCGGCTTGACCAGATCTAGCACTTCACTTCCAAGACCCAAATCCAAAACCCAGATTACAAGGGTGAAAAGGCCGTCAGAATCACTGGATATGATGGAGCCTCTAAGAGAAGTGAGAGATGGATATTTGATAACCCTAAACTTAGGAACACCTCCACAATCCGTGCAAATCTACATGGACACGGGAAGTGACCTCACTTGGGTCCCATGTGGGAATCTAAGTTTTGACTGTATGGATTGTGATGACTACAAGAACAGCAAGGTCATGTCCTCTTTCTCTCCTCTTCATTCTTCTTCTTCTGTTAGAGCCTCTTGTGCAAGTTCCTTCTGCGTCGATATTCATAGCTCTGACAATCCCTTTGATCCTTGTGCAATAGCCGGCTGTTCTGTCAGTATGTTGCTTAAGTCCACTTGTTTAAGGCCTTGTCCTTCCTTTGCTTACACTTATGGCGAAGGCGGTCTTGTCTCGGGGACATTGACAAGGGACACACTCCAGGCCAGAACTAGGGTTATCCCTAGGTTCTGCTTCGGCTGTGTAGCCTCTACATACCGTGAACCCATCGGTATAGCTGGTTTTGGAAGAGGGCTTCTCTCTCTACCCTCACAGCTAGGGTTTCTTCAAAAGGGCTTTACTCATTGTTTCTTGCCCTTCAAGTTTGCCAACAACCCTAACATCACTAGCCCTCTAATCTTGGGAGATTCCGCGATTTCGCACAATGATACCGCCTCTTTGCAGTTCACCCCCATGTTAACGAGTCCTATGTACCCGAATTATTACTACGTTGGTCTAGAAACCATTGCCGTAGGCAATGCTAGTGCAACACAAGTGCCCTTAACATTAAGACAGTTTGATTCGCAAGGAAATGGAGGAATGTTGATTGATTCAGGCACCACTTACACACACTTGCCTGACCCTTTCTACTCTGAGCTCCTTACAACATTGCAATCAACCATATCATACCCTAGAGCTACAGATACAGAAGAAAGAACAGGCTTTGATCTATGCTACAGAGTACCATGCCCAAACAACGATCTCGACAGTTCCAACATCGTCGAAACTGTCTTTCCTCCAATCACATTCCATTTCCTGAACAATGTGACCCTTCTTTTGCCGCAAGGAAACTCCTTTTACGCCATGAGCGCGCCAAGCAATGGCACGGTGGTGAAGTGCCTGTTGTTTCAGGGAATGGATGACGGAGATTATGGACCGGCCGGTGTCTTTGGAAGCTTTCAGCAGCAAAATGTGAAAGTTGTTTATGATTTATCGAATGAGAGAGTTGGATTTCAAGCCATGGACTGTGCCTCATGGGCTGTCTCAGAGGGACTTTACCATGGCTCATGAAGAACATCTAGTCGTGATTTTTGTACCTTTTGTTTTTGGTTTTTGGTTGATGATCTCAAGTTGATCAACGACTGTTTTTGTTGTGTTCTTGTTTTCCCGCCCAAATCTTGGGACTGAACTCTTTCAATGTCTTGAGTGATGCATGTTTATGTTTCATGCCTTCTTGTCAGGTTTTGTTTATGTTAAATCTTCGACTTCTACATTTAACCCAAAAAAAAAAAAATCTTCGCCTTCTACGTGAGTTGGACTGTTTTTTTTTTTTTTTAAAAAGGCATGAGCAAAGTACACACGTGGAAGACATAATATATCTGTATGTACAGACAAAAGTCACGAAAGGACAATTCACAAGAAAGATGGTCCAAAAAGACAAAGCCAGGCAAGGGGCATATGACTTGCGAAACTGTACTTGTCTAACACACACATGCATGCATTCATGCCTAGAATTTTTTTTTTTTATAAAAAAGATTCCATAAAGACAGCTTATAGTAAAGCCCAAGTAACCATATAAACCATTTTCAGTGAAGCGAGAAGAGAAATCTGCTTGTTAACCTATGGTTTTATCATGTTGGGAACGACACGATTTATTACAAAAATAAAATATCAGTAAACAACAATCTAAGATGAATGGTGATACGTAAAACACTTGGGTTTGCACATTCAACAATTACAAATCCACTACAAACAAGATACTTAAACCCTGCAAGTAGCATGACACGATGTACCTTCCTTTTTCCTTATCAAGTTGGAGAAACGTTTTTTTATTTTCAGAACAGCAAAAGGACAGATTCGCACACACTAGTCATCATAGGATATAATTACAAAAGCGAATAAATCTGCCACACAAGTATCTTTCACATTGGCAAGGCAGTTTGTCATGTACACAAGCAAAAGCAGAAAACCAAGATATGCAAACAGAGGTCTTGATGTCTACTTTGACCGTTTTATATTTATATATTATGAAGCCAGTGGTTCCAGGAAGCGTAGGAGAGGCATCCAAACGGGTGTGTGTAAACATATCTAGGCACAACAGGATGAACTCACTGCCCTTTCCGCAGGCCTGTCTGAGAGAACCATTCCCGTTGGGTTTTGTGCTGGCTGCACCCGAGGTAGTCTCCTTGCTGTACCAACACAGAAAAGGAAAAGGGAGTTCTAGATAAGCTACTTAAAGTTGGTTTTGAATTTGTTTTCGAATGTAGCAATGTCTCACCGATTTCGTAGAATATGTCTTTGACGTTAGTCGCAGTCTTTGCTGATGTTTCCATGAAGAAGAGGCCGTTCTCCTGAGCATACGTCTCTGCTTCCTGCAATGACCATGGTTTGATATCAGCAACATCATACTGACATACTTGGATTTGCAGAAAAAAGTGCATCCCTTTCAGTGGCGTTCCAAGCTGGCATCCTTTTTTTTTTCAAAAGTATATTGCAATTTTACAACTAAAAAACATCTCCCTTTCAAATGACAGATCACCTATCACACATCACCACTGCAAAACTTGACAATGAAATCTCACCTTGACTATGTCAATTTCAAACATAGAGAAGAAAAGAAAAACTTACTTCTACAGAAACCTTCCTTGCATCTAACAGATCAGATTTGTTCCCAGCAAGGGCCATAACCATATTTGGGTTGCCTACTCATGTAAAAGAAAACCAGGAGAGGGCAATGGTTAACATCCCATGATAACAACTCAAAATACCAAATGATTAAGAACTACCACCAGAACAAGAAGCCACAACCAACAGGAAGTAATTTAAAGAAGAAATTAGCAATATGAGTTACCTTGTGCCTGCAGTTCCTGGACCCATTTCTTTGCCCTCTCAAACGATGCCTGCAGAGACAGAAAACGTTGAATGAAAACAATATAACAGCATGTCACGAAAATGTTGACAGATCTACCAATAAATCAGCGAATCATAGCATGGATTCTCCTCAAATCATATAGATATTAGTGGTAAGAGAAAGAAAGGGTTACGCAAGAGATTATCACAACAAGAGCATTTTTCGCACTGGACAACTGAAGAATATCAAGACCGTGTTTTCATGCCAGAATGATAACAATTCCAACATGAGGACAAACACAATAGATCACGAGGTTTTACTTGATTTGTAATGTCAAAGACAATAACTGCAGCAGCTGCACCCCTGTAGTACATTGGAGCCAAGCTATGGTATCGTTCCTGACCAGCTGTATCCCATATCTCAAACTTTACAGTCGCATCATTCACAGCTAATGTTTGAGAGAAAAAAGCAGCACCTATGGTTGATTCCTACAGGATTATAACAAACAAAATAAAAATAAAAATTAACAATCACATTCATGAACAAAATAACCAGGAAGACAACAGAGAATTGCTACCAAACCTGGAATTCAACAAACTGATCTTTAACAAACCGCAGCACGAGACTCGATTTCCCAGCCCCGACATCTCCAAGTAACACCTGAAGCATTCAACCGAATTTAGCACCAACCAAAGATTGAGAATTGGAGAACAAAATATTTTAACATGCAAGAGGATAATACAACAGTAACGTGGGATACATAAAACAAATGTTACTCCTGCAATATTGCAGAAACCATATTTCCACATAAGACATAACTAACGATTTGGAAAACACAATCAACACGTGAATGCGGAAATCTGTTCGAGGAAGTTCGGAGAATCTGCCATCACGAAGATGGTCAATCTCAGGACAGCCCCCATAGGGTTTATGCTATTCATCAGTTGACTAGTCAGAACCCCTTGACGAAAACATAACCAGATCAGGTGTTCGAAGAAACACACAACTCTTGCTAACACAATGCAAAACCCTAAGCAACCAGTGAAATCACGAAATTAGATAAAAGGAGAGGAGTTCGGATCGAAAGTCTCCAAATTCGCGTAAGAAAACAAGAGCATTAATCGAAATTATCCACATTCGAATCCGAGCCACATCGGGATCCCAACGTAACAAACACATAACACCGACAGTCAAAACTCAGGAAATCGATCCAGTTCACGAACACCATGCAGCGAGATTCAAAAGGAAAAACACAAACCAAAAAGAGGGAGCAAATTATAAACAAAGACGAACCAATTTCGCGTTAATGCTCTTGTTTCCGGCACTAGCCATGATTATCGATCCGGATCGTCCAGCAGAGCTCGAGAATCTTCAGCTCAAAGAGAAATCCTTAGAGGAGACGCGTTGACAATCAAAGGCGGAGAAACTTTCCAAGGCCAAGGGGGGGAGAGAGAGAGAGCGAGAGCGCGCGCGCAGAAATGCGTCGTCAACCAATCTAAATCTCGACCTCTCTCTCGACCTCCTCGAGAACGAAAGCGAAAAGCAAACAAATATTACACGGCACGTGAAAACGACATGAAAGTTCGAAATATATAATTTTGTGAAAACAGAACCCAAGAAACGAGAAATTACAAAAACGCCGCTAAATTCATCCAACGCATAATTTCACCCCAAATCTGTTATTCAAGTTGAAGTACCCAACAAAAAAACAGAAATTTTTTTTTGACGATTACGATTTTAGATATTGGACAATTAGCTTAAAAGAATTACAAAAGGGGTATCATACTATCATCATGTTAAGAAAATAAATTTCGAACATATAAGGATAGCGTCAGACAAGTAGCAGCTTATATTGTGTCAAAACCGCTCT